CCAAACCTCTAGCAACCAAGGTAAGCCTAGAATTTCATCCGGTGGATCCTAGATGGTTACTTAGGAAACCCTGCCTGGCGCTCAGCTTACTGCGTCCGTATTGGTGGACTCCATGAGAGCAGTAGGTTGGGCGGTTAAGTCGACCCAATTGTGATTAAATTCAGTCGCACGTCGAACCTCGTAGCTCAACGGTAGAGCGTTGGCTGCGCAAAAGCCTTCCCTGCTTTGTGGACTCAACTCCCATCGAGGCCGCGGATTTTTCACAACTAGTCAACCGAGCTATCAATATGCTCATATGTGGTACGAACGTTAGAAGAGTATGTAGACCCTCAGTTCTGGGCACTGAGGGAGAAAGCCTAAGTGCTGACGGCAATGACGAAGTTACATTAGTGTATAGGCGCTCGCCGATCGGTTACGGCGTTCACTCGTCCCGTTCTGCCTTGGAATTTAATCTCCAGCCCTGCCAGCAGCCGCAGCTTCTCGCGCAGGCTGGCAAACATTCCCGACTAACACCACATTTACTGGATCGACCATTTCCGGCTTGTAAGTCTTCATCCGTCAGCCCAAGTTCTGCGCCATCTAAGGTTCGAATCCTGAGTCGCAAAGCAGAACGAGGCGGGTAAATTCCGTAACCTATCAGTGAGCGTTCATGTACCAGTGGGACTATCCCCCCATCTAAACCGGTAAGACAACGAGCACGTGGTTCAATAGAAAGAACGCTGGACTTTGATTAACAGGTTGCAGATTCGAGTTTCGGGTGGTTTACCACCTGGCGTTGGACTGATGACCGACTGATGACGGCTTGTAATTCAGCAATGGTCATTTCAGTCTTGCTGGTACCTTTTGGTGATGTTCTAGTGGCTAACTTGTTTCTGTGGATAAATAGGCACAAAATCATGAAAACATCGTTTATTTCCTACGTCAGACAAGTTGGTCACATCCGAGATGTCGTTCCTGGTAGCAAAGCAGCTCCGGCGTGTCATTGCTCTATGTTTGCAGTTGCGCTCCACACGAAGGTGCGCACTCGCTTCATTCCGAGGTCCTTGCTCAGATGAGTAGGTCACAGTGAGATAAGAGATGCCCACCTTGAAGAGAAGCATTTCACGGTTGACAAAATTTGTCCTCCTTTCTGGACGTGTATTTAGCAGATTGGTTAGTAACAAGCAGACATTTAGGGCCGCCTGAGTGAGAATTGGCACCTTGGCAAACTAAGTCGAGACTGGGAGAGGGTGACGGTGTTGTGGTTGTTTGTGGTGGTTTGACTGCCCATCTTGCATTTACGACCTGCTCACAGTCAGTGCAGTTTCTCAGCCTTTGTTTAGTAGCTAACTTGTGGTGATGTATGGTGTGCACCGTGTTCAATAAATAGTGTGCCCATTGTACACAAGTTAGGTCCGGTTCGGTTCACAAGCAAGCGTTCAACAGCAGGAGTTTCCTTGGTATGGTCTTGGATACAACAAGCCGTAGGTTGTTTTCATATGGTAACCGTGAGAAGGGGTTTTTTGTGTTGGTAAAACTGATTTACCAAAAAAGGATTTTGTGAAAATAAGAAAAAAAGACGTAAAATTTTGTTCAAAAAATTTAATACGGTTGCTATGGGCCGACGTCGTTGGGCGCGTAAATCGAAAATGTGCGCAAAAAAACAAATCGAGCTCTAATTGAGCTCAAATCGCGCACGAATCGCTGTCGACAAACTTGGAACTGTGGAGTTTTATTCCGAAAACATCCTTTGCCCAAAACCCAGTAATAATGGATTTTTTGAAGTATTTTTGTAATACAAAGCAGAAACTTCAGGCTTTTTACATAAGATATCACTATCCCACACTGAACCTAACACTAACCCTTACCCTAAACCCAACCCTTATTCCAACCCTAAAACTAAACCTAACCCCTAACACTCACCCTTACCCTAACCCTAACCCTTAACCTAAACCTTACCCTAACACTTAACCCTTACCCTACCCCTGACCCTAACCCTTACCGTAACCCTTACCCTAACCATAACCCTAATCCTAACCCTTTACCCTAATCGAGCTCGAATCGACCTCGAATCGAGGTCGAATCGCTGTCGACAAACCTAGAAATGTGGAGTTTTGTTCCGCCACTACCAAGGAAACTCCTACCGCGTTTCAACTAGTCATTTTCGAACTGTAATTGTGCCCGATTTATCTAAAACCATAAGTACCCCCTGTTGTCTTTTCACTAACGTTTTACTCAGATTGCGTTGTTTTGAAAGACCTACTAAATATTTCCATTTATCCAGACTGTCTAGCAGACACAACTTCTCCAACTATACTTGTCATTGGACGAAGCTTTACCATTTGTAGTTCTTAAACTCCAAATCATTTCAGTTAGCTTCTTCGGCTCAAGTCTTTAATGTCTGTAATTTATTCATAGGTTGGTGACAAATTGCGAACTCGCTGTCGAAACTTCCCTGGAATCGTTAACAACACAACGATTGACTGGTTCTTCCCCTGGCCAGAAAAAGCTCTCTATGCAGTCGCTGAGACCCTTGTTCCGCCTGCAGTTGAGTTACCACCACCAGAACAACGCGCCTCGGTCATCGACTTTATCGTTCATGTTCACTTGAGTGTCCAGAAGTACACAAAGGATTTCCTTCAGAAGTGGCGTCGAGTCAACTACGTCACACCCAAACATTACCTCGACTTCATAAAAAATTACTTCAGGTAACGATTAGTTTTGACGCTCTTTAAGCACCTTCAATCTTCTTTTTTTACTGCTTAGAAGGTTGTTAGCATACACCGGGCTTTGCACGTCTCGTACTTCATTGCCCTGAGGTGTACGCCGAACCTTATTACTTTTTTACTCTGGGAAGACAAGTCTTGTTTGCAGATGAATATTGACGGCAAAGACTAGGGGACTGGCATGGCCATTTCTGACTTATAAGCCGTCATCCGTCAGTCGGTCAGGTGGTGCATCAGTCGGGACTCGTAACCGCGGCCTGCTGGTTAGAAGTCCAACGCTTTTAACCTTAATCCGTGGGCTCGTTGCCTTGCCGGTTCAGGTTGGCAATATGGACATTAGCGAATGAACGCTCACCGATCGAGAGCAGGAGTCACTCGTCCTGATGTGCACAGTGTAGTCTTTATGAAACCGTTTGTTTATATGACGACCGACTTGAAATCTGGGTATGTTCCTTGAACCATTGACTTGTTCTCTGAGATTTTAACCATCAGCGAACTAAAAATTCACGACTTCATTTTTATTCCTCAGGCTGAGCATAATCCAGGTTTCGTGTACTTAAGACAATGCAGCGTGATCACTTAACGTGGACTATCAAGAGCATGTTATAACAAGTATGTATGTATCCACACGACTGTTTCCCTTTTGTTGGCCAGCGCCGCGTCTCGCCTGCATTGATTTTGAATTCTTTCCATTCACTAAGTGACCCTTATGTGGGCGTCCTGGGGTTTTGTTTTTCTTTTTGACACTCAGTTCGTCTAAAGTCAAACAATCCTTACTTGAGAGACACAATACTCAGTGCTGATACTTGTTTGTTCATATGCTCGTCCATTTTTATAGATCAAATAATAAAGAGAAGGAGCCGATAATTTTTGAAAGAGAT